GTATTCTGATCAGTAGATCGACTTTCATGCAACCAGCCTGCCCGTACATGGATCGAAATATGGCAGGTCCCTACTGAACAGGGCAAATTTTAATCTAAGTATGGCTGCCTTAAAGGAAACTTACTATAGATAAATCACAACTGGAAGCTAATAATCAGTGCTGTATGTAAGATGTTGCTAGCTGTTTAAGGAGTCAATCTACAAAAAAAACTGATTTGTTATGGATGACCATTGGTCAGGGCTCTTACTATACGGTGCTTGTGGGCCTGTACCCCAAGCATTGGTATAAAACACCCAAAACACACGTATAATATGAGTATCCTTTTGGCCTTTTACTACGTTTGCCCATATCAGCAGACCTTTTGATTGGTGGAATACACACAATCCAATGAAAGTTCTGCATATAAAGAACACAGCATGCTGTCCCCAAAAGTCCCTGTTTTCATTTTGCAATAACAATAATATTGTGGTTGCTGTAAAATACTTTGTAGCTAGTGAAGGAATTGTCAGTCATACTCTATGCCTGTGCTAGTATGTTTTCTATAAATAGCCCTATGATTGAAATATCCATTGGTTTCCTATTTTTCTTGAGGCCATTTTGTAACCTTAACCATGGAGTCTTGACATCAGGGAAAATTGCACTGTTCCTGTTGTGATGGAAAATAAAATCCCAACTGAAATAGTAAAATTTACTTCATTATTGGCCATGAGTGAAAACGCAGAAATAAAGGCATTACTCTACAAGCAGATATACAGTATATGCAAATTAGAAAAACAAAACAGAAGAAATTAAATAATCAACTTACAACATCTTATATATAAAACGCCAGTGTTAGCTGCATTTTAAAACCCAACTATAGGTTTTTTTTAATCCTCCATCAGGAACTAAAAATGAAAACATGGCTCTGGTTGTCATCTTCAGTCCTGCCCTAGAGAAAGTTTGAATAAGCCGAAGATCTCGTACATCATGTGACCAGCCTGAAAACATCTGAAAAAGGTATGTGTAAGGCCTTCAGGGGTTAGGGCAGAGCACTTGTGGGGGAAGGGTTGATTTTAGAAATGGTCTTTAAACCTTTGGTTGGTGGGGATAAAAGTTTACATATTATCAAACCTAACAAAATGTGGAATTCATTTGACAATGTAAAGAATACAGGAGAGCTGAGAGGGAGGGCCAATATAAAATGTTTGTCAGATCTTCTTCATCTAAGGCCTATAACAATCTGATGAGTGTGACTGAAGAAGGTGTCAGTGGTGGAAAAAGAAGCATCTGACTGTAGTTTCATTATCTATGTATTTTTTGTTATTTACAACCATTTTTCACTATTTTAATTTTTATATTGATGGATTGTTTTAAAACTTGAAATCTAATAGATCTCCTCACTGTGATGCCATTTATGCTATTTATATTATAATTTATATTACCAACAAAATACCAAAACATACAAGATATTACAAGATAATTAAAAAAAAATACAAGTGATTAAGCCCAATAAAGTGATTAAGCATAAAAGATGTTCCTGCTTTTACAGTATAAAGGGAGAAATGCCACTTTAATATTGTGAAGAAGTGCTGTATATGGTGGATTATTTACATCTATTTCTGTTTTCTTTTGTGGTATAGTATATGTGCGACTTTTCCTTTTTTCTTATATAATTTAGGCATTCTTTTGGGACTTTTGAGGATATGGGGGAAGCAAACAATTTTCTTTTTATTGGATTGTGAGGGACTCAAGTTTTCTATTGTTTATGTGGGATTGGTCCATTCCTATACCAAGGTGATATGTTGTTATGGATGATTTGCAGTTTATGCAGATGTATTTGTAATTTATTTGGTTTTATTATAGCTGGCCTTTCCCATTTGATTCCTAGATGTGTCTCTCCTCTCCTCCCCCCCCCCCCCCACTTACAACATACTTTATGGTCTGTTTTATCTAGGATAAGGTAAGGGAATTTTGGTAGGTTTGGTGTTTATATATGTGTCAGTCCCTTTTTCTGAGTCTCATTTATTAAGTCCCCCCGTGGCTCCCCCCCCCATGATGCTCTGCATGCACCCTAGAGTGTATAGTATTCCCTTTTTTTTTTTTCTTCTTCTTTCCATTGTTCTTATTAATTTTGGATTGACATATATTATATCTTGTTTTTTGTAATGTTAATTGTATTATGTATAAAACTATGTTTTAATCTGTACAGTTTGTGAATGTTTCTTCTGTGGCATGGATCCTGATGAAGCAATGTGAGCGAAATGCGTCAGTCCTGCATACCTTTTTCTATTTATTATTGGCACAGAGATACTATTACATTATATGCATAAATGCTCATCAAATGTGTCCGATGACACATTGTATGCTTCTCTACAGACTATGGTTTTAAGCATTGTTTTTTGTAATAAAGCTTTGTAGATTTTATCAATTGTGTTATAGTTGATATATTATGGCACATTTAAAGTCTCTTTTTTCAGTCCTTCTCTTCCCTGCACAGGGAGAGGGAATTATTTTGTCTTATATATTGTTTATGTGGATGGTGCCTGTAAAAGGTTATGATCTTATCCGCATACATTTTTCTATAAAGAATTTTTATATCCTCCAGCCACAAAATTCATTCATAGTCTATCTACTGCATCTATATATACATACTGTATCTGTATAGATAACCTTCTGATGTGTCGGAGTATACCAGAACAGCATAACTGAAAAAAATATGCTTTCAACCTTCTATACACTCTATGAACAAAATCAATATTTACATGTTTATCTATAGGATTTTTGATTTGTCATTAATCTTGTCCTTTCTTATAGTACCAAAGTAATACATACATATGTTTTAAGACAACACTTTATTTTATTATGCATACACCTTACTTAGTATACATGTACTTAACATGAAAAAAATATATCTAAGACCAGGTGTGCATTAAAATTAAAAGACAGCCTTATGGAACAAAGTTAGAACACCAACCTCAAAAGGAAATAATAAAAACAAAATATTCAAAGCACATACAAAATGTTATCTAAGCAGACTTCTAATGTCCTGGGAACTACTATCTATCTGTGGACATTAGAATTATTGCAAATCTATGAGGCTTGCTACATTGCAGCTATAACTGTAATATACACTGTTGGGGTCATAAAGTATGTAATGCCTGCGTTCACTCAGCCCTCCCTACCAACTGCACCATCCCTTTGTCAGATTATAATTATAACTTGCTTAGAGGTTATTAATGAGCTAGTGTAAACAATATTAAGCTCTATGGGTGGTTATAAGGATAAAATTGATTTTTATAAGGATGTATTACAGGAAAATATTATCTACTCTTATTACTGTTTTTTTAACCTGGAGTAGTTGTCCAAACTGAGATTTCTTTGTTCCCCGGTGTTTGCATATTTTGGCCACAAACAAATTGGTACCTCATGAATGTATGTGTTTTGGTCTTTTTGGTAGAGTCTTAAAGAATGTATTTAGGATGCTCACCAGCCTGCATACTTAATGAATAACATATGGGACAAGAGCCTGGTTTCAGGTATTATGAAACCACAATTGAAATCCATGTTTTTTGAGTATGTAAATGCTAGCAATAAAAAAGGTTACATTTGTGTGTTCTGGAACTGAGCTCAGGTAACCCATGATTTAATTACACAACTTTCCAGAAAAATTAAGCAGCAATGAATTGGGTTCAATAGATTTGAACATACAGCACCTTTTTAAGAAATAAAATATAAAAATGTAATTGTCCATTTTATATGGACTGGCTCTGTCTGACATACAGTTCTTGGAGGGGACATGACTCTTACACTTAGCATAGGCACTATCACAGAGATTTTGCCATTTTAATCCCATGCAACTTGAATAAATCTTCCCAAAATATTATCAGCAGAAATAAAAATAAAAGTATTTTAAACCATTTGGATTATTAGCCATTATTCACCAAAGTACATAGTGGACCAATTGCACCTATAATTGTCTCTGTTCTTTTTAGATTAACAATATTAGTATACCTGCTATGGGTCAACTAAACCTGCTTTAACCATTGGTAGAATTAACAGAAATGTGTCATATAGGAATGAAAAAATAACTGAATGATGAATAATTTGTACTTTTGTGCAGTTGTTAAGAATCTTGGATTGCATTTTAAAAAAGGGTTATAACTGGTTAGACAACCACTGTACAGGGTGGAAATCTTTTTTTTTACGACTAACACCAATGTAACATATTTCTCAATCAAATATGTTCATTTAAATGATTGTTATTTTCTGCCATGTGTATCAAATTACAATGATATTTTTCCAATATCTTTTTATTTCCAGAGACTTGACATGTTTACAATTTTGATGAATGTTCACCTACTTTAAAATCTAAATTAAAGGACACAATTATGCAACAGAACAAAAACAAAATCCCAGAACTTTCTAATAAACATGTTATTTTAGCAAATATACTGTATAGTGGTACATTATTTCTTCAAATACAGAAAATTAAGTTGTAAAATTCTGTATAGTTGTTACATTTGACAATACCTTTAATTACAGTTTTGAATGTATATTTATATGGATCCCAAGAATGGAATTTGCATTAAAAAGAAATTTCAAAGAGGGTGGTCTATAAATAGTGGGAGGCACTGGCTGGAAGGATTGGGGACAGTGGGGTTTATTTACTAAAGCTGGTTCACTCAGAATCTCATGCACTTCTGCATATAAACCATTCTGCTTACAGGTTTTATTGTTAAAGTTTAATTGAACAAGCTGAGGTTAGAAGCTGATTGGCTAACATGCACAGGTGCACCAGATTCTGTATTAATCAGTTTTAATAACTAAACTCCACTGTGTATGTGTTACCTAGGTTTATCATCTACTTCCAGGAACAATTGAGTACTGTCCGTGATACTTTTGTTATTTGCACTAACATACAATTTTGAGGACAAGCTTTCGGGGAATGTCCCCTTCTTCAGGTCTAAGCAGTACTGAAACAAAGATTTAGCAGAATGTTAGAAGAGATGTAGGGGATGGGAAAAAAAAAAAAAAACAGAGATAAGACACAGCAAAAGCAAAGTCTGGGGGGGGGGGGTGGAGACAACACTAGCAGAGGCAGCCATGCTGATAGTCATAAAAACTGTTGGATAATGATTGAGGAATCCCATGTCCAAATTCAGGCCGTTATCTCTTGTGTCAAATAGAATTATCATTCTTAGCTCAAAAGTTTTTTTTTCCTGAATGGATATGAAATTTCATTTAAGAACTAAACTACTGAGGTCTCCCAAAGTGTGGTCTGGTTGTGCGAAATGGTGTCCCACAGGTGTGCAAAGGTCATCTTCTTTATGTTCCTTGATGGTATGTCTGTGCAAATTCATCCTTGTTTGCAACTTCTGTCCTGTTTCGCCACCATAAGATCCTTTGCTACATTTTCTGAGCTCCACTGGATAAGGTACACAACATTACTGGAGGTGCAGCTGTATGATCTGGAGATATTGAAGATCCCTTTTGAGTGTCTGACACTTTTGATGGATTGATTTGGTTGCACAGTTTGCAGCGTTTCTTATTGCAGGGTTTGCTTCCATTATTTGTGACATCTTGATCAGAAGGAAGTTTCCTACTGATTAGTTTATTTCTGAGGTTGGGGGGTTGTCTGAAAGCTAGTATTGGTGGTTGCTGGAATTTTTCTTTCAGAGTTCCATCCACTGTTATGATGGGTTGTAAATCTTTGATTATTTTTCTTATTCCTTCTAGTGCTGGGTTGTATGTGGTTACTAGAGGTACACGGTTGTCTCAAGCACGACTGCCTCTGCTAGTGTTGTCTCCCCCCCCCCCCCCAGACTTTGCTTTTGCTGTGTCTTATCTCTGTTTTTTTTTTCCTATCCCCTATGTCTCTTCTAACATTCTGCTAAATCTTTGTTTCAGTACTGCTTAGACCTGAAGAGGGACATTCCCGAAAACTTGTCCTCAAAATTGTATGTTAGTGCAAATAAAAAAAGTATCACGGACAGTATTCAATTATTCCAGTCGCAAATGCTACAATCACCTCATCTACTTCCAGAAATTGCATCTGTTATGAGAAAAAAATATACTTTTCCAAATGTTAATAAGTTCTGGTCTGATTCCTGGAACCCAGAGATTTTGTATAGTTTTGGTGGGACAAAACCTCCAGCGCTAGGTCAATGTTTTACCTGTTAGCTAGACCAGACTAATTGGTTAGGTGTGCATAGACCTTTAACACACATATATCATATATAAACATTGATTTGCATATGATGGAGGGATTTGCTTTTTTCATATTCAGTGTCAGATATTTACAACCACTTTAAATTCATTGAAGCCACATCCAAAATGTGATCAGAGACCCAATTTTGAAGGAATGTTTAGTTTTTAAGACAGTTTATAAGATATATTACTCCTTCCACATGGCAGTTCACAAAATGTGCTGCTGAAATGGTAAGATTATCATAGGACTAGTTTTACATGTACATACAACACATGCTACATTTAAAAATTCCCCTAGTTTTTTTTAACAAACTGGAGATGGTCTACATTCTTAATGGCTCTGTGTAATTTGTGTTGGACTAAAACAGACCACCTTAGAAATTAAATCATCCTTTTGTAGCCAGTGCCAATGCTTTGGCATAATGTTCCTTTATTGCGCATGCTGGCATGAGAAATTAGTAATAAGCCTAACTGTGTCAACTGATTGTCCGTATTATTGTTTAGAGTGAGAAAATAGTGCCAATCTGTATGGATTTGTTGGATGTTTTTCCTTAAGTGCTCAGCCTCCCTTTGAAAGTCATCAACATTGTAATTTTTAACAATGCAAAGGTAGTATCCTACTGGCATATTCCAAATAACAGTATCTCTGCACTTGCTCATTATACATTGTTACCTGCCACAGGTTTTCTAAAACAATGCACAGTTTTCATCTTTTTTTATATATAATAATGTCTAGAAAGGTAATTTCAATATGTTGAAATTACAAAGTAAATCATATATTATGTACATTGGTGTTCAACCAATCCATGTAATAGAAACTGTGGAGCCGTCTAGGAAATGAGAATGTCATCTACGTACCAGTTCCATATACAAATTTGATACAGTTATATTGACAAGCCCTTCACTCCTAAATTATATAGCTTCCACTCCCCCAAGCACAGTTTTGTGTATGGTGGTATCACCACACCCTGGGATCCCAGAAAAGGAAACACATTGTGGTTATTTTACTAAAGGTAAATAGGTTTAGTGAATGTGATGAAGTTACTTTTGCAAGTAAAATTTAAAAAAAGCATTTTTGCCTGAACATGATTGGATGATGGAAATCATCAGAGCTTCATCTCATTTTGCTCCTATTATTATTATTATACAAGATATATATAGCGCCAACGGTTTGCTCAGTGCTTTACATTGTAGTGGGAGATAATACAGTAACAATACAGTTCAATACAAGAGGGAGTTGAGGGCCCTGCTCCTTGGAGCTTACAATCTAGGAGGGAGGGGTGAGTGGTACAATAGGTAAAACTGTGGGGGATGGAGTGGTTGGAAGCGTAGAGGATACCAGTATTAGCAGAGGGAGGGATAGGCTTCCCTGAAGAGATAGGTTTTCAATGATCGCCTAAAGGTAAGTAGAGTGGGTGATAGTCTGATAGATTGGGGTAGGGAGTTCCAGAGGATGGGTGACACCCTGGAGAAGTCTTGGAGATGAGCATGGGAGGAGGAGATAAGGGAGCTAGAGAGTAGGAGGTCTTGCAAGGAGTGGAGTGTACGGTTTGGGTGATATTTAGAGATAAGATCAGATATGTAAATTGGGGCAGTGTTGTGGATGGCTTTATATGTCATTGTTAGTGTTTTGAATGTTATCCGTTGGGCAACAGGGAGCCAGTGGAGAGATTGGCAGAGAGGGGTGGCAGATACAGAACAGTTAGTAAGGTGGATGAGTCTGGAAGCAGCGTTCATGATAGACTGGAGTGGGGATAGCCTGTGATGAAGTAGGCCAATGAGGAAGGAGTTGCAATAGTCGAGGCGTAATATGACAAGGGAGTGAATAAGTAGCTTAGTGGTTTCCGAGGTTAGGAACGGTCGTATATTGGAGATGTTGCGGAGGTGAAGTCTAGATGAGTTTGTCAGCAATTGGACCTGGGGCTGGAATGACAGATGGGAGTCTAGGATTACACCTAGTAGCTTGGCATGAGGGGATGGACTGCTGATTGTGTTACCAATATTTATAGTGAGGTCAGTGGAGGTGGCACGGGCAGGGGGGAATACTAAGAGCTCAATAAGTGCTCCTCAAAAAAACTGTTTAACATTAGACTACCCAGATCATGTGGGATAGATTAATACACTACCTGCACATCTAAAGACACCAAAAACACCCCACTCAGTAGTGATGCCTTGCAAGATCTCTAATAAGTGGAGTGTCATTTACTGTGTCTATATAGACACAATTTAACAGGAACATGTGAAAACATTGATTGCTACAAGTTCCTGTAAAAATGTGTCTACATAGACACTTACTAAAGGCAGTAGGTCATTCAGACTGTTTTTTTTTTATTATTTTTATAATCCTTGAGAAGAGTAAAAAAAGCAGCAAACCAGTTTTTTTTAGGTTTTTTTGGCTCATAATTCTTCTGGATTATATCATTACCTTGGGTAGCCCTGTCAATAACTTAGAACAATTGTTTCTGGAAATTGTCAACCTTGTCCTTAAAAAATTATTTTTAAAGCAATGTGTATTGTTTAAAAATGTCATAAACATTAGTTCATATTTGTCCCTATTCATTGCAAATGTGTTTTCTGCCGTTATATGCCGGTTTTATTATCAGTTTTTTATTTTTTGAAAGACTCTGTAGTGGGTATAATTGTGGAGCAATATTTGCTTATTTTTAAAGACACATGAAATGTGTTTTTTCAGTCTCCTCCAGAAGAAAGAGTTAGGTGGGAAAACCAGCCAGCTTTTTACAGTTAAAATTGTACTACTTTCTAAAATCTACTTGCTGTCAGCAACATGACTGCAAAATAAAAACCCTACAGGGGTTGTAAACATTTATCTAAAAAAAAAAAAAAGTTAGGCTATATATACACTATACACCACTAAAAAGTTCTCACCAACTAATGACAAGTCAAAGAGTGAGTGGAAGAATCTCCATGCCTGTCTAGCAAGTTGTCTTATGGATGACATAGAGCCACAAGAGAAGCCTGGCAAAGCTTTTCTCAAATTAGTGCTGCTCTTCCAACTGGTAATATAGTCTGAGTGAAGACTGTTCATGTAATTTAGCCTAACCACTGGGGCTAATTCATTAAAACTGGAGACAAGAATGAGAAATCAAAGGAAGTTGTTGCCTATATTAAACATTCAAAATGTTTACCTAAGTTTCCACACAATAAAAGGCAAAACCTGATTTGTTCCTATGGGAAATAACCCACTGTTACCTTTTCTACAGTATTGCTGTGCCATCGCTAATATATGCATCTACTAGAGTACTTCAGGCAGCACTGCAGCTGTAGTGTACCCCTTTCTCCCCTCTTCCTCCAGCACCTTCCCCAAATCTTACCTGTTGCTGCTGCTTTAAAAGTCTTCCAGCTGAGCACAATCTCAGTTTATATTTGTGAATAAGCCATCAGCTTTTAAGCTGTGGATGGCCTTTCTATAGGAATGAATGGAGACTGCACCTGGAAGATGTCCAGGTATCTTATAAACCTATGTGTCATGCTATGTACAACCAACTGCAAAATCAGTTGACCTACACAATGGGCAGCTTTACTCTGTATTCCTAGTCATGTTGAGCTGAGCTTTGCTGTGTCTACTACTGTGTTCCACTAGTACTAAGAATGCTGTCTAATGTCATTAGCATCTCAAAAATGATTTCATGCTTTACCCTAGAGTTAAACATTCCTGAAATATATTATTCAGATGGGCTCTTTACTGCCAGGAAGCAGCAGAATGTCATCTCAGGTTACATATGGCACATTAAACAAGGAACAAGAATACGATGCCACAAGCAACAAGAATAAGGTGAGACAAAGTGTTCCAAAAATTGCCTAACATTAGATGTACAAATGGGTAAATGATGAAACACTATTTGTCATGGCTCATTACTTGTGTATTGTGTCAATAAACATTCAGTTAGTTTCACAACTTCTAATCTGCTTATTTAGGAAAGGAAGGGCAATAAACATTTACAAAGATAACATTTTCATACAACGTAGTACTACAAAGGATAATTTGGAATAATTTAGTATGGAGTTGAAGTATATCATAGCTTACTGTGTAACAAATGGGGTTATTTACTAAAAGAATAACTGTTAATTTAGCAGACTGAATATTCACCTCGCTTAGCAAATAAGAAGAAGCTGTGTTTACTTTAATCATCCAATCACATGCAAGTAAAAAACATGCATTTTTTACA